GTTTTTGTGCAGGGTTTTGCTTATCTGCCAGCTGGAGTGTGTGTTTCCAGTATGGGGCGACCCATCTCGTACGAGCAAGCCATAGCATGGAAGGTTCTAGATGATGAGGAAACCAATCATTGCCTGGCTTTCATGTTTATGAACTGGTCTTTTGTGTAAAGTAAAATAGAATCGACTCATTTTAATTTATTCGTACCGTTTGTTTTGGAAGAAATGCGAACGAAGAAAAATCGCTCCAATGACGATTTTGAGGATGATGATTTAACTTATTGAGATGCTTACTATATGATGTATGAAGTTAAGGTGTTTTTGTCAATCATTTTTGTTGTTTCATGCTTGTGTTTTTAGTTGCTTTTCACTTCTCGGTTGTGAATGGGTATATTCATTTCGCCATGTTCATTTCATGCCATCCCAAAAGATCAATATCCTTGAATCATTATTTAAAACAAAAAAAAAATAATAATAATAATAATTAATTGAGCTAATTTGTTAAATGAATTGATTCGAGCTTGCTCTTGAAAAAACTCATTTAAACTTTATTATTTTAACTTTTCAATAGGTATCAAACGGACAAAACTAGTCGATCATGTACGAGAACTCACAGACAGTATTTGCTAATAATTAGTTTACAATTTCTGGTTTGTTAATGTGTCGAGTTGAACTATCCGAACTTTAATTACTCCAACCTTTGACTCATTTATTCAACAAGTCGTGTAATGCTTGCTCGTTTATTAAAGAGGATTAACTCGAACACAAAGTGTTTGGGTGAGCTCGAATAGATCTCACCAATGCTCACTCTTAGAAGTTTTTTTTTTTTTCTTTTTTTCTTTTTCTATTGTATGTTGTCATATCATTTAATTTGTCAATACTTCAGATGAAAATATGTAGAAAAATGGAAAGATATGTGATATATTATGATGTGACCCCAAATCAAAAGCATTGGTACTATTAGGCTATAATTTGGTTGCTGACATTGGAAATCTTGATCTTCAATATTTTTAAGGCTATGATTTTCTGAAAGCAACTTGTAAGAGAAAATTTTAATAGGCGTGACACAAAAGTCAAAAGCATGGGACCATTAGCCTATGGCGGGACAAAGTGAACCAAATTTTTGTTGGTCGGATCATAAATGTAAGGGTGCCTGATTGGATGTAAATAAAATTAATTTTGATTGAATTTAATAGTTAAAGTGAGTTAATTGAAATAGAGTTGATTAAGTAGATGATCAAAAGATCGAGTTTGATTTTGAATTTATATTAAATACTAATATTTAAAATATAATAATTAAAGTTTATTTGATATTATTGTAGTTGAGAAGTTATTTGAGATGATAAGTAGTTAAAAATATGTGAATAAATGAAGAATAACTGAATAATCTATACTTATATTAAAAGGTATACCATTTACCAGATTTAGTATAAATAAAAGGCAACAACATTTATTGCATTACTATTTCCGTATTATACAATCTATACTTATATAAAATTGATTCTATTTATTACATTTACTATCCAGAAAAGTCAGCTGCATTAAATGCCATTACTATTTTGGTATTATAATATTTTATTTATTTAATTGATTTATTTATTTGTTTTATTTTAAAAAGGTAAGTATAATAAAAAGATTTTAATAATAAAAAAATCAAATACCAAATAAAAATGTACACTTTGACTTATTTGATTATATTTGGTATTTGATTATACCAAATATATTCCTATTTAGTATATACATTAAATACTTACTAAAGTATTTATTTGTTTTATTTGTCAAAGTTAAGTATAGATTTGTTTATATTATCAAATCATAAAAAAATATTAAATCCATATTTAAAAAAAAAAATCATATAATTTTATAACAATTCTACTACACTATTTAACAATATTTCTTTTTTATTATATAATAAAATAATAATTAAATATTATATGGTGAACATCAGTAAGTAAAACTGTTACTTTCTCTTATATAAAAGGATAAATTTATATGCTAAAATTTTTATATTTTTATTAGTATAAATATTTTAGTGAGATAATATATTAATTATTTTACAAGCTAGCCCTAACATGCTCATATTTAATGTTTTAAAAGATGTAGAAAAAAAAACTTATATTAACTCTATTGTTTTTTAGACTTAAACGTTGATTAAAAGAGGTAAAAATTCCTAATTTTTTAGACTTAAACGTTGATTAACACCATAGATTGAGAGTTTATATTTAGTAAAATTCCTATTATAATAAAAAAAAATAATTTTTGCTATATTTTAGAATATCTTTAAATTCATTATAAAAAAAAAAGAAAAAAACTACAATGAAAAAAGCAATCTATATATCGATTTGTTGTACTCCTCTAATCACATTCACAATTTGGCTACAAGGAAAGGAAACTCATTGATTAAAATATTATTTTGTCAGTAGTCTTAATGTACTAAAGACTTTAAGACTCCACTTGAATATTATAAAACTTTTATTGAACATTGTACAATTTTCTTGCGTATTATAAACTTTTATTAAATATTGCATCTTATAATATAATATTCTCCAATAAATATATCTCGTGCTTCGCACGGTTCACGTACTATATATATCCCGTACATTTTTCTTTATTCATGTATATAATTATAAGCCTGGATAAATACCTTAAAATTGTGCACCTCGTGCATCGCACGGGCTCTATACTAGTTTAATTAATAATATGAAGAAAGTTGATTTGAATTTTGAGTTAATAGTGAAAAATTATAACCGAACTTAACTGATGGTCAATCGCATCTTAAATATATTTGGAGTTTATTTATCTAATGTTTTAAATTTTTCATAAATTTATAGTATGTTTCCACGTGGCCCCATAGGCCATACCTAACTTGAAAAAAACAGGGAAACGGGTTAGTGATTATGGATTTCTAAACAAGTCAAACTCAAAATAGTTTTCTCATGTTGTTTTTCATACAGTATAATACTTCAATTTTTTTTGTTTTAAATTTTTCATTATGCACTTAAATAAATTTACAACAATAAAAATTTGTTATGAACATATCATATTTTAACTTTAATTGACATATTTCAGTACTTACTAGTATGTGGTCCGTGCGATGCACGGGAAAATAATATTATGATTGTATTAGAAATTAAATATATAAATAATATTAATCATGAGTTACTCATTGTTTTTAAAATTAGACCAAACTGGATAGTACTCTGACCGGATAGGTAGGGAATTGGTTTATCAACCAGTCCGGTTCGCTTGAATAAAATGTTTGCTAGCAAACCGGTCAAACACCAGTCCATCAAAAATATCGATATTTTTTAAATAAATTTTGTTACATTTAAAATTATTTTTAATATAAGTAAAAATACATATTTAAATAAAATGTAGATTTATAAATCATTTATCATTTAATTTAAACATTGAAAACTTTTAAATTGTTTATAAATTTAATTAAAATTTTGTATATATATTGAAACATTGAAAACTTAGTTACCTCCCATGAAAAGAAACATAATTTTCTTCTCATATTTATGATATATGTACATATTGAAACATGTTTATCTTCATAGGAATGAGATTTGTATGCATGCACGTTTCATATGTTTGGGAATCTTAAGATCGTTTAGATTCTCTTAAAAAAATCTATCTATATTTGCATTTTTAAACTCTTTTCGGATTATAAGTAATGACGTCATTTGACATGTTTGCAATTTTACAGATGAATCACAATGGTGCCATTATGATTCTTTTGTTTTGTTATGTTTTTATTATAGTTACAAAAGTTCCTTAATTATCATGATTTTTATTATGATTTTAATTATGATTTTATGGGATTTTTTTAACTAAATCGATGTTATGTGATAAAACAAATCTATACTTACCTTTGACTTTTTCAGCAAAGGTAAAAAAATCTGTAATTAATGTCATTCTATTTCCAACAAACATTAATTACCTTTAATGTCAAGCCTATAAATACCAAAACAAATCTGTAATTAATGTCATTCTATTTCAAACAAACATTAATTACCTTTGAAATTTCTGCCTACTATTTCTAGTAAATAGGATGACTTTTTATATAAGTATAGATTTGTATTTAGAATTATTTTCATAAATAATTGACCCATTTTTTGCATAAGAATCTCCTAATTTGTTACCAAAAAAGATATGATTTAAATTTTGGTAAAAAAATAAAATATGATACGAAAAAAATGGGATTCAAATTTTGCCATAAGAATCTCCAAATTTGTTACCAAAAAAATAGGATTTAGATTTTGTTATTAAAGATTCACATGTGTTTTTTTGAACTTTCCATTAACAATAAGTCAAACATTATATTTATTTTGTCAAACTTTCTATTAATGTATTTTTCCAACAACCTTTTTATATAGATATAGATATAGATTTTGTTGGTGCAGGCATATTATGGCATCTAGCCTACTGCCAACGTATGTACATTTGTCAAGCACATTTAATACTCCAAAAGTACTATAAAAGGTTCTGTATGAGTGAGTCGCATGTAAAACGACAAATAAATTGAATTAAACACCCATCATGTCAACATTAATAATTTTGTATCAGATTTTGGTATTGTATTTACTATTCCCTCTATTTTGAAATATAAGGCGTATAAAGATTTCTCATTTTTTTTGAAATATAAGGCGCGCTCAAAAATCAAGACAAATTTTTGCATTTTTTTCCAAATATACCCTCATTGTGTTGAAATTAAGGAAGTGTGGAGTGGTTGTGATTAGAGTAAATAAGGTTAATTTAATCAATTTATTCATTAATTAATGTCTCTTTAATACTTGTGCAATAACCTTAAATGCCTTATATTTCAATAAGTTGTATGCAGACAGACTTTAATACATTTTTTACTTATTTAGTTTGATTATAAATTTTTTATTATTCAAAGTAAGCTTCTTTGGATATCTTTTCAAGTAAACTCATTGAAAATTTTATTTTAGCTATCTTATCAGCTAATTTTACAAAATACTGTTTGCTATGTCTGGTAAAACTAACTGATAAACTAGCTTATAGCCTATAAGTGAATTTCGAGTTTATAGATTATAAGTTATGACTTATTGCTGAAAAGTTAGCTTATATGACAAAAGTGTTTGATAAAATTATCTAATAAGCTAACTCAAATAAAATTTCAACGAACTTATTTGAAAAGTTACCCAAAGAAACTTATGAGATAAACTCTAGCTTTTTTAAAAAAATCATCCTACCAAACGAAACTTATTTAAATACAAGAAGTTTATACGCTAATCAAAAAACTATAAGCTAGTTTATTTAGTTATCAAACATAACCAGTAATAACTCATAACTGGTTTACAAATAATAAGAGGAAAGATCAACTTTAATAAAAAAAATAATATTGGCCAATTAAACAACATACTTATAGTTTTTTTTTAGTGAAACAAAAATATTTGAATATTTTAGTTGTATTCTTATTGTATCACAAATTGATAAACATAAAGTTGTTTTTTAGCAAATTGGTTTTTTTTACTCGATCTTTAAATGAAACAAGTCGTTCGCGAGCTTGACTCGACTCAATGGACTTGTTTGATAAATAAGTCGAGCTCGAATTATTTTAAAACTTGTTTAGTTAATGATCTAAGCTCAATTTCACTCGATAAGACTAAAAAACTATTTTGTATATAATTTATACAATTCACCTCATAAAAAGCTCGAATTCGATTTGAAACTCTGCTCAATAATATTGATAAATGTGTCAGCTCGAGTTATGGAGAATGTTTATAGCATTCCACTAATAGAAGTAGCCCATTGTCACCAACCCAAAACTCCCCAGGCCCAGAAATATAAAAGTATCCAAACCCTAAGGTGAGCCCAAACCCTTCAGCCCCGCCGCCGCACCCCGAAAATCTCAACGAGAATTTTCAGAATTTCCCCTTTAAAACAGCTAACCCTAATTCAATCAATTATCATATCACATCCCCTGTTTCGTATTTCCCCTGGCGGCGGATCTCTCCTTTTCTCCGGCGACCTACGCCGTCGCACGTTGCCTGAATCCTTTCTTATCGCTCTAATTTGCATCGGTCGATGCTTTTGAAAAAAAAAAAAAAACCGATGAGGAAGAATTCCCAGAGTATAGGAAGTGCCGTATGACATTCCATAAACGCAGCGTTTTCGTCTCCGATTTTCACCTCTCCCATCCGCCGGCGCTCATGGTTTTGTCTATGTGGCAAAATTTTGTGCGCCGGTCGGGACCGTGTGGATTTCGGCGGCGGCTGTGTGTGTGATTTGAAACGGGTCTCTGAGGTTTCGTTTCGATTCGATTTTCTCTAATAATGTTTGAATTTTCCTTCTGTTTATCCTCCATTTCCGGTTCAATGCCACGTCGCCGGTAGCCTTTCCGGTGATGACCGGCGGTGTCATGATTGGACCAAGATCGAGTTTTTGTTTCGCATTTTGATAGGAACCTGTGGACTGATTTTTTTCCCTTCATCCACAGAGCCGTTTTGTGCGATTACAATTTTTTAATGCTAAAATATATTATTTTAGTTTTTGAATATTATATAAATGATTTTGCGAAAATTTAATGGTAGTATTTGTAGGCCTGTGATGATTTTGTTTTTGTTTATACGCAACTGGAATTACCGGCTGAACTTACATTTTGATGTTAGATCAACTATCTGAGGCCTCGTTTTGGTGAAAGATTCACATTTTATTTTCTATTTAAGAAACTCTAGAATTTGAATTTTTTTTTTTTACACATTTTAATTAAATTTTATGATAGTACACGCCCTAAATATTGAAGTCATGCTTGGATTTTGAAAATTTACCCCATCACTCGATTGATTTCTTTGTAGTTCTTACAACAAACCAAACCAAAGATTCCATCTACAAGGGGTCCAAAATTAAGATTCCATCTAGAAGAGGACCAAACTTGAGATGTCATTACAAACCAAAGATTCATGTAATAGAAGACCAAACTTCAGGAGAATTTCATGCACAAGACGCACCAAACTTATATGAGTGTGTTGATTCAATACTTCACGAAATTATACAATCAACTAGTAATAAAAAGAAGTTTGGTGTAGAATCAACAATTGGCTTCTTATTGAAGCCAAAACACCTATTATGTGGCAAGTCTAAAATATTAGTATGTTTTTTAATTAGATAAAAAAAATTTAAAATTAGCAGAGCACTTCTATTTTTAAATTTGGATCATTATGTTGACGGTTATTATTTCTAAATTTTCAACAAAAAGAATTAAAAGAAGTTTTACATAATTTGAAATAATGTTATAAATTTTTGTAGTAAATTTTTGTTTCAAATTCAAATTAAAATTTGAGAGACTGGTTCCATAAAAAAGCAAATTTTGGCTCCATAGGAAAATTGTATACCAAATTACCAACATCTGAGAAATGCCAGATTGTTGATATTTTTGTATTTTTACCGCTATTTGTAAATGTTGTATAGTATTAGAGTATTGACAATTACTTATATGAAGTTACAAGCTCAACTGTTTAATTAATCCGCAAAATTACACTAATTTGTATTGTGGACAATTAGCCAAATTAACAAACTGAGCACTTTAATTGAAAATAAAAACACCGTTTTCATTTCGAACTCTCTCTACAGTTTCAAATTTTCCGATTTATGCCACCCTCTCACCAACTGTGCCGAGTGTTGAGAATCCCAACAACAAAAGAAGGCTTTTGAAATGTGAGGAAATATATCCATTGGAAAAGAAAAGGCTTGTAGTTGTTGAAACATTACCTTGTTCATTGTACGAATTAATAATTTACAAATATAAATATGTACTTACCAAACATTCTCCCATATTGTTGCTCTTGCCAGTTTAGAATATTTAATAAAGTAGAGTAAGTGATTGTTTATTAATTCATCTAGAAATTAATTGATTTTTTTTTAATTATAGTTACTTTTGAACAAAGTTAATATGGTTAGTTGTTATAGATATATCAAAATAATATTTATAATTAAAGTTGATATGATGTAAAAGTAAGAGACAAATGATTGTAAAGTTGATATGATGTAAAATTATGTGAGAAAATGAATAGTGAATTAAAGTTGATGTGATGTGTAAGAATGATTGGTTGAATGATTGATTGATATTATTTAATTATATTGATAATATTGGAGATAGTGGAGTCGGGTTAAAGTTGAATTAAATTTGAGTTTTGATTGGTTTTTTTTAGGTGAACTGATAAACAATCACCCCCTAATATGTTTCACGTCTAAATAGAACTGTTGAACAAATCAAACTATTCGTGAACACAACTCAATTTGGCTCGTGAAAATTCAAAGTCGACTTGGTTGTTTACTTAAAGATGCCATCTCGAACAACTAAAAGAGTATGTTCATAATATGAGTTGAACCGAGCTTGAATGGGGTTTAAATGAAATAATTGAGTCAAACTTGTTCAAAAACAGACATCTCATGTTCGTGAATGACTAGTTTAAAGTGTTAGGTTTATTAGTTGCGGCAAGCCAATCTTAAACGAGCCGGACTGAAGTCAAGCTTTTTGACTCATTTATTAAATGAACACAAACTCAAGTGAGAGCTACTCAGCTCGGCTCAAATAACACCAGTGCGCCTCATTAAATTTAAGGAAATCGACAAAAGAACAGTAAGACTTAAGTTTGGTAAACCTGACACTTACAGTTACACCTTTTCAACATATATATGTACTTTTGAACTAAAATGTCATAAAAAAACAACAACAACAACAACAACAACATACCAAGTATATTCCAACAGGTTGGGATCTGGGGGTCAGTTATACGCAGACCTTACCCTTGTAATTATACAAGGAGGCTGTTTCCGTAGCGACCCAAAGTGCATTGCGCCATTTGATATATATTTTTTTCTAGAAACTTCAGTAATAGAAGAAGCACTAGAATTTAATTGAGCAATTTTGATCTAGGTCAATCCATCTAACAATTAGACAAACTCAATTGGTACTTACTAACATTCCTGTGATACTTGGCCTAAAGCCATTCTTTGTCGACTCTTACACAGAATTTCTCACATAGAAGCAACTAAAAATTACATAACATAACCAAAACAAGGTTAGAGCATAATCATCTTGTTAAAGGGGTACACAGCAGACTTCATCTTATAGTTATCAAATTCGAATTCACCAAATAACACTAAGGCTGAAAATAAAGAACATTGCTCATAACTTATGACTAAAAGCAAGGAGATTCAAGAAGATAAACCTTCAAAATTACTGAAAAGAAGATACTCAAAAGAAGCCAGGGACTTCCCCCGGCAAAGGAGCCAACTCGTTGTTGCTGAACCTCTCCTCATCATAAAAGCAAGCACGGACAATCCTTCCACCGAAAAAGCGGCCTTCGAGTTCTATCAGAGCTTTAGTTGCTTGTTCTGCTCTCTCGAACTGAATGAATATTCTTACAGCTTCATCGTGTGGGAAGTTTGGTTCAGTAATCTCAAATATCAAGACACGAGTCACTGTACCAAATTTAGTACACTCCTCCGCCACTTCACCTTCTAAATCATCATCCACCTCACCAGGGCCGACCTTCACAAAGACACGCATATTATTACATAAATAAAAAAATCATAGAATCCTTTATCATGAAAAAAGAAAATATAATAACAAAATAGCTGGGGAGGATAAAACAACAAACATTGACTATTCGAAACAAACAGGAACGAAGTTTTGCATCTACCTTATGTGCTTTACTAAACATTTGATATAGGTGATAAGGCAATAACTGTGAAATACTCCAGTATCAAGTCAAGCTAATGGAACCAATGAATAGCATGATGGATAATAGTTATTGCTCCCCAACATATACTTGTTGGATCATCAAATGGCTACTAAGGAAGAGAAAATAAAACAAGAATGGCCGGTGTGCTTACAGAAAATGCCATTAAACAAAATAATATGAAACTTTATATTGATCGTGCAAGCGTGGATTGCATGTCGTTGACAGGACCTCTACATAGAATGGAAAGCATAGAGAAAAAAACTAACACTGAAGCAGGAACACCAATCAAAGTAAGGTTCTAATTTCCAAGATTTTAAGACTACATTTTCAGTGTTCTTCCTTCAGATGGATTGAATCATAATCCATAAAGTTGTTCAAAGGGTTAAATGTAAAAAGAAAAGCTTGCTTTTCTTGTCTGCATAATCATTAACTCCTATACCTACAACAAACATAAAGCTCTGTCACAAGGATGTATAGTTTGATTTACATTTTAAATACGGGTCACGGAACTCTGAGGATGCGACAATCCATAGCATTTGCCATAACGAATTCTATTTGAATTCCAATACTATTTCTAACTACTAAACATCGTATCTAAATTAAGATTCAATAAAAATGCAGTTTGGTAAACTGTAAAGGTAGCACAGCGCAAGTCACTTGACATGTATCCGTAACTGAATTGTTTGACGATTATTGAACAAACAGAAAAGACTAATTACCCAAATAATCTAACAAACTAAAAAAAAAAATGCACAGGCACCAAATTAAACAGCATCTCCTACTCTTTCCCCAACTCCCCTTTAAAATTTATTTTATCTTGTAATAAAATGTTATACAGACACCCCGACCTCATTGTTATGGAAAACAAACATTTTTTGTACCATGAACTTTGTAGGTTTTCAGTTAACTCAACAAAAGAAACACTAGCGTTTGTCATAACGAATGCTATTTGAATTCCAATACTATTTCTAACTACTAAACAGCATATCTAAATTAAGATTCAATAAGAATGCAGTTTGGTAAACTGTAAGACATGTATCCGGAACAGAATTGTTTAACGACTTTTGAATGAATAAAAAAGACTAATTAACCAAATAACCTAACAAACTTATATATATATATGAAAAAAAAAACAAAAAACAAAAAAAACAAACAAACAAACAAACAAAACAAAAGGAACAGGCACCAAATGAAACAGCATCTCCTGCTCTTCCCCCATCTCCCCTTCAAAATTGATTTTATCTAGTAATAAAATGTTAGACATCCCAACCTCATTGTCACGGCAAACAAACATTTCTTGTACCATGAACTTTGCCCGGTTTCAGTTAACTCAACGAAAGAAACACTGAAAGATTCATCTCAACCAGTGTTCAACTGAACTCCATGTAATTGAACTTTTACTTAAATGATTCCATCAAACATAACCAAATAATCCAACTCAACAAATTTAACTACACAATCTCTTATCACCAGAGCTCAATAACCCGTTCAATGCGAAAATAATATCATAGCCAATCGAGCAAAGCTTCATTCCTGAAAACAATAAATCCATACCATGTTTCTAAGAAGCACAACTCTGGTAGGAGTCCCATTGAAGCTAACACTCTTAACCTTCTTGTTCGACTCGCTGGCATTCACAATAACTCCACCTCTCTTATCTGTCTTTTTGGCCACGAGCGGTGCCGTAATCCCTTGCTCCTGCTTGCCCAAGCCCTGTCCTTGCTTCCAGCCCATCTTCGCCATCATCCTCTGAGCTGCAGTCATCTTCCCTTCCGCCCCCAGCCCCAATCCTCCACTCTCCGATTTCCCGATGCTAAACCCTTCTCCTCCGCCGTTGCCCGGAGGGGGCGGCGACGGCGACCTTGGAGCGCCACCTCCGCCGCCGCTCATAGCAGCCCTTCTCCGCCACGCCTCCTCTCCTGAGATATTCAATTCCCGATCCCTATCGCGATCTCTCTCTCGCTTCTCTCTCTCCTCCCTCTCCCTCTCTCTCCTCTCCCTCTCCTCCAGCTCCCGCCTAACCTCGGCCTCCGCCTGCTTCCGCTTTCTCTCCCGGCGGTAGTCCTCGTAGTCGTTCGGCCGGGCCGGATCGTATTCGTCGATGACGGAGCTGGTGACTCCGACGAGTGCGGGTTGAAAAGACGACGTGCTGGGGTTAGGGTTTGTGTTCTCATCGGCGTTTTGGGGAGCTGTGGTGGTGAGCTTAGGCTGGGGTTGTTTGGGCTTGGGGTGTGGTGCCCGGAGGATTGTCTGAGGGGGTTGGGGCTTGCGGAGAGTGGGAGGGACCATCTTAACGCTGCTGGACCAGACATTGGTGGTGGATGTGGTGGCGCCGCTGTCTTCCGCGGCGGAAGACGGAGGGGGTAAGTCGCCGTACAAACCGCCAACCATTGTGTACAATAGTCAAAAGCGTCTGTAATTGCAATCGGCCAAAGCCCAGTAACAGATTGTGGTGTTTTGTACAGAAAAACTCGTTTGGTTTTGGTGGACAATATTATCCCTGGAGTTTTATCCAAGGTTTGATAATCTTGATTACGGACCGCAAGATTGGATGAAGGCGGGATAAAATCATGAAAAAATTATGGCTCGCTTGTTTATAAAATAATATAACCATAGTTAATTTTGAAAAATATGGTATAGTTAGTTGTTAGTTAAATTTTAATAATGTATTAAAATAATATTTAAAATAAAATGATTAAAATTGATTTGATGTAAAAATATGAGATAAATGAGTAGAAATTATAGATAATTAAAATTATGTGAGTGGATGAATAGTGAATTAAAGTTGATGTGATGTGTAAGAATGATTGGTTTGTATTATTTAAACCTCGCCTGAGAATGATTAACAATTGCCTGAGTGTATGGATCCAACGAATCCACAAACTCATGTGAAATTATATAGGAGTGTGCAGGTATATCCAACTATAAGGGTGTGTTTGTATGTGAAACTACTCAATCATTATTCAATTCATATTCAAAATCTAATTCAATTTTAATCAACTCCACTGTCCTCAATATAATCACAATAATTAAATAATATCAAACAATCATTTTTACACATCACGTCAACTTTAATTTATTATTCATCCACTTACATAATTTGTTCTAACCAACATTTCACACTATTTATCTCTTACTTTTACATCACATAAGCTTTAATTTATTATTCATCCACTTACATAATTTGTTCTAACCAACACTTCACACTATTTATCTCTTACTTTTATATCAAATCAACTTTTTTTTTAAAAAAATATTATTTTAATATAACTATTTTGTCAAATTTAACTCTGGTTAATAAAAAAAACTTATTTTCAGCGAATATATTTGTATACAAACACGCCCTAAAAATTGTAGTGTGTGAATAGGTATAAACTATTTTTGTTCATTTTACTCATGCAAAGTGTTATTTCATGGTTACAGCAAAAACTTCAAACCAGCTAGGAAAGGCTGGAAATGCTTGGACCTCGAGTTGATTGTCGGTTGAACGTCCTCGAACCTGTAAAACTCTCACATCGGAGGGGACTTTTGGTGAAGAGCCTCTGAAACTTAAATTAGCAACTTGAAGAAGACGAAGTGCAATATAAGAGTGTATAAGAGAGAATGTTACCATATAATTGCTCATCTTACTCCTATTTTATAGGAGTGAGTTACCTGCTTCTAACAATCTGTCCGGATTTGATGAGTTGGCTACTCCAGCTGCCCGTACTACCCCAAACGGTTATGAGAATAGACCAATAAAATAGTGCCGCGTGACCTAACTCTTGTGCAGCATTAACTACAATAAGATTCTCTTATCCTTTGACCTTCTCCATTAGGCATTTGACCCCGATTATCTTGTGGTGGCGTATAGTTAACCTTAAGCTCCGATGCCACACCTATGTGGTAGATAATTCGACCAGATGCTCTTTCAGGTCGAGCTTCTTCCAGGCCTTCCAGAGGTTCTCACTCGACCTACTGATACCTATTGCGCAACTGATGTCCTATTCGACCTGTAGATTCCTCTAACTATGGAGTCTTAACTCTTTGTTTGATCTGATTATCTGATTCGGTTCGGTTTCTTCTTCGGTTTAGTCGACTGTGTGTGATTATCTTATATAATTTAGTATCCCATGTGATCCCCTAAAACAATTTTGACTATCAACATCTCAAGTAGGTGAACAAATAAATTATTATGAAAGAGATGTGCTATATTTCCCTATTGGTTCCATTATTTATATAGAAAATTAGAAAATATTATTTCAATGTGTTGCAAACTCACCATCACAACTACTTTCTAATAAATTTCATGATATAACTAAGTACAAAGGCATTATATATATATTTCTTCTTTAACTAATTTATTTATGTATAAATGTACCCAGAATAAATCAATTCGGTTGAATGCTAAATTTATAATTATAACAATTTGCAAAAAGGGAATTTGTTCGTCAATTGATAACTACACAATGGCGCCATCATAAATTTAGGGTGTTACTATTCACCGCCCCCCATATTACTAGTCACCGCCCCCCCTTGGACAATTTTGCCCTTCTCATTTTTTCTAAACATCTCAGAGGAAAGTGTACGGTGAAATGTCGTCAAATTCGGAGGTACGAAAAAATACGTGTACGGTCGCCGGTTCTGGACGGGCTAAAAGCCGTCCGGATGCCGGAACCGGACGGTCCTTAAACCGTCCGGACCGGCCGGCCGGACGACATAAAAACCGGCCGGAAAGCACGGCCGGACGGACCGCTGCTGTCCGAACCGGCCGGCCGGACGGCAAGAAAGCCGTCCGGAAACGACGGCCGGTCGGAACCGGTCCGTCCGGTTCGGCCGGCCGGCCGGAA